CAATTCTCAAAATATTAGTTGATTAAAGGGAATAAAGATGGAAAAAAAAATGATGAGCAAATCTGTGTAATGAAATGAATTTTGTTAATTTTTCTTTTCTTAATATTTAACATAGATAAAAGTGCTTGATATAAAATATGTTTATGTTTTATACATATATAGCATTTCTAAATCTAAATACGTTTAAGTCATTTTATTTTATTTTATTTTTACAAAAATTCAATATAAACCTTAAGAAACCATTAATTTAAGAAACCTTAAGAAAAGATCTTTAAAAAAAATTCGTAATATAAAAGTCAAGGAAAATATATCATCTACATTACATTAAGGAACTTATTAATTTAATAAACCTATTCCAATTGAAAAAGAGAAAAAAAAAACTAAAAAATTAATAAACCTATTACATTATACATATTTTCTCTTCACTTTTTTCTTTGTTCATTGCCTTTAATCAACTAATATTTTGAGAATTGGTGCCTACCTAATATTTTTAGAGGGGAATGCATTCAATAAAACCCCAAATATCATAGTTAATTAGTAATTTAATGGTTATGCCAATATTTCCTTTTAAAAAATTGATATAATCAAGATGGAGGGGGAAAATTTTGAGACATAACATAGTTCGGTGGCATAATAGGTACATTTTAAAGTTTATAGGACATTGACACAAGTGACAAAGTTCAAGGGGCGTTTATAAGTATTTTTATTTAAAAACTTGATGGAGTTAGAGGAGGCATGTTGACACAAATAAAAAAAATTCAAAAAACACAACATGCATATTTTAAAGTTTAAGAGACATATTGACACAAGTAATAAAATTCATGTAGAATTTATAAAATTTGTCCTTATGAAAATAATCTTTTAGGGACTATCTAGAAAGAAAAATTAATTGTGTGTTTGGAGTAAGGATTCAAGCTATGTTTCGGATTATAATTCGTAACTCACTACAGTATTTTCTCTCATAAAAAATACATATAAACTGAAAATGGTTATGAATCACGGTTCTAAATCTATAAACTAAACCTCTTATAAATTTAATGTGAAAGGTAATCCGTTCACTTCACCGATTCGAGTTTAGAATTCAAGTTTTGCTACAGTAAAAAGCTCTCAGAAACAGTTACATCTAACTTTTTTACTACAGTAAAAAGCTCTCACATAAAATCACATCTCAACTCGAATTCTAAACTCGAATCAGCAAAACGAACGATTTGTCCTTATGAAAATAATCTTTTAGGGACTATCTAGAAAGAAAAATTAATTGTGTGTTTGGAGTAAGGATTCAAGCTATGTTTGGGATTATAATTCGTAACTCATTACAGTATTTTCTCTCATAAAAAATACATATAAACTGAAAATGGTTATGAATCACGGTTCTAAATCTATAAACTAAACCTCTTATAAATTTAATGTGAAAGGTCCCCGTTCACTTCACCGATTTGAGTTTAGAATTCAAGTTTTGCTACAGTAAAAAGCTCTAAAAAACAGTCACATCTAAGAGTGTTGCTAGACAGCACCGGTTGTTCTCAACTCCGTTGGCTCCGCATCCCTTACAAGGCTCCACGTGTAAAATGCAAAGCAATTGCAACATTTTTGTTTAATAAAAGTGGGACCCACGTTTAAGTGTGACAGAACCATTTTTTCCCTTCTCAGTATTTCCCACGAGCTCATGCTAAGGTTGTTGCCCTTGTTTTATGAGAGCCAATTCAACAATTCAACTGGTAACATTTTTAAAAAAAGAAAAAAAAATCAACATAATAATTTTGCTTTGGAGCAATGTCAAAAAATAAAAATAAAAAATAAAAAATAAATGAATGTTTTTGGTAAAAGGAGAATATTTACTTATTCTTTATATTTATGATAAATCTCTTAGTTTTTATGTTCAGAACATGTTTAAAAAGTTATAGGAGAAATCTCATTTTGGAACTCTTATATTATTTGAACATTGTATATCTAAAAATAGTCTAATGGCATATTTAATTGCGCGTAATGAGAATGGACATGAATCAGAGTGGACAAGATTTAGAATGGGTAGGATTTAGAGTAAAAATTGGAATCAGAATAAGCTGTTTACTTAGTGATAGGTTTTAGAATCGGTGTCACTCTAAATCCCATTCATGGCATATTTAACTACGCGTAATCAAAATGGACATGAATCAGAGTGAGCAGGTTTCAAAGTGGGTAGGATTCAAAGTAAGAATCGGAGTCAGAATGAGACGTTTACTTAGTGACAGATTTAGAATTAGAATCACTCTAAATCTCATTCATGTGTTTACCTATACTCACAATCAGAATGAAATATGTAAAAGTACTAATATACCTTTTAAGTCAATTTATATTTTAATTTAAAAAATAAATTATGTAATTATTATATTAAAATTAATCATAATTAAAAATATAGTGTAATAATATGGTAATAAAATAATAAATATAAATTGTGAAATAATTTAAAATATAAAAATAAATTGTTAAAATTTTTATAAAATAAATAAAAACAAAAAGTAGTGTTAAAAAATTAAAATATATTATTAATTTTTAAACATATAAAGTACATATTATAGTATTAGGCAAATGAAGTAATAAATATAGGTATAATTATTATTTTTTAATTTTATATTTATAAATAAAATAGAGGTATGACGTAATTTAATATTAATATCAAGCATTTTTACACAATTACCCCCTTAATTTTTTTGTAAATCAGTCTCTAAACTTCTTTCCTTAGTAATTAGTCCCTTAAACTTCAAAATTTGTTGCACTAATAGTTCAATTGGCAGCGTTTGTAAAATTATAAATGATTTTTGTTAGGTGAGAATTCCATAACCTTCTTCTCAAGGGTGTTAATTGTCTTTCTATAAATAAATAAAAAATACAAAGCACTTTTTCATTGCGTTTGGTATTACTTTTCGCTCCAAAATCAACTTTTGCTTGTAGTAAAGTTCTAGCTTGGCCACAACGGCCCTTTCCCT